CCCAGCCGAAGCTCCTGCGAGCCCACAGCCCCGTCCACACCAGGCACAGAGACAAGGTCACACCGTCACCCACCTGCTCTTCTTGGGTCTCGCTCTGGGGGCAGGCTCAGAGCCGCTCTTCTTGTCTTTAGGCTCCTTGGGGGCTTTGGGTTCCCGGGGTTTCCGGGGCTTCTTGGCCACCTCCTTCTGCTTGGGCTCCTTCGGCTTCTTGGGCTCCTTAGCCTTTTTAGGCTCTTTTGGTTCTTTAGGCTCTCTCCTCCTCTTTGGTTTCACCTCCACAGCTGCTTTTTCTCCCCCTTCCTGCTCTCCCAGATCCTTTTTCTTCCGTTTCTTCTTCACCCCCGTGCCCCCACCCCCACTGTCCTGCATCCCATTCTGGGTGCTTGTCCGCTTCTGGGGAGCCCCGCTGGGCTCCTCCTCCGGGCACTGGCACTGGCCGCCGGGGGCTTGGCCGTGGCTGTCACTGTCACCTGGTGGGGCACCTCGTCCTGCTCCTCGCTGCCGGCAAAGGGGTCCCGCGCCTTGCGCTCCCAGGCATCCGACATTGGGGAGCGGCTCAGCGCTCTGAAGCTTGGCGGCTGCGGAGAGAACAGAAAGGCGGCGAGTGAAGCAAATGCCACGTACACAAACAGCAGGTGCTTTAGGAGGAACTGCCCCTCTGACCACCCGGCTGCAGCGCAAGCCATGTCCCTCCACGTTTGGGGGCTGCTGCTAATGGCCACCACATGCAGACGCAGCCCAAAGGGGAGGAGCCCCCGTCCCTGTCCGATGGAGGCCGACAGGTTAGAGAGACCTTGTGCTTCCCCACCAGCCCATGTAGGTCCAGAGCAGAGGTGGCTGGTCCCACAGCCCTGCCTTTGATCACACACTCCACATCCAGAGCAACCCACGCACCCAGGCCACCTCCCGTCCATTGCCTGGGACCAGGGATTGTCTGCACAGGGCAGGGAGAGGGAACTAAGGATGCCTTGCAATGGCAACAAGAATCACAGAACCACAGACTGATAGAATCATGAAAGTTGGAAAGGACCTCTAAGATCATCATGTTCAACCATCAACCCAATACCACCATGCCCACT